GGAGGAGCTGACGAGAAAGAGTGGAAAGCTTGGTTGGACAAAGATGCTTGCGAGGTTCTTTCCATAGAAGAGAGCAAGCAGATCCTTCGAGGCAAGTCAGATTGTGTCATTCCAACACGTTGGGTTCGCGTGAACAAATCAGAGGGCAAACCGGATGAGCCTTTCTTTGCGAAAAGTCGTTTGGTAGTGCAAGGGTTCAAAGACAAAGCGCTTGGTCAATACAGGGGTGATGCACCGACAGGTTCATCGTTGGCTGAAGCACTGGTTTTGACCCTTTCAGCATTTTTCGGCTTTCGCATGATTTGCAAGGACATCAAGAATGCATATTTTTCTGTCAAAGAGAGTGGCCATGAGTTGTATTTTTTACCTCCGAGAGGAGGTTTGCCAGGGCTCAAAACTGGACAGGTTCTTCGAGCGAAGAAGGTCATCTATGGCTTTGCAGAAGCTGCTAGACTGTTTTGGCTTGCGTTGAAGGAGAACCTTCAAAGTGACGGCTGCACAGAGTCCCGGCTAGAGCCGGCTTTGTTTTACCTGAGAGATCCTGACAACAGCCTCAAGGGTATTTTGGTCACACATGTTGATGACATCCAGGCAGGCATTGATGCACAGTACATGGAACAAGCTTTTCAGCGTTCATCCTTGGCACTTGAGTTTGCAACAAATCATCTCGACAGTTACACCTTTAGAGGCCGAGAAGTCCGACAAGTTGCGGGTAACCACATTGATGTCACGATGAACAACTATGTCCGCAGCATGCACAAAGTTTCCATTAGCAAAGATCGGAAGATGCATCTTGAAGCTTGACTAACAGCTAGCGAGAAAGACATTTTACAATCTTCGGCTGGCGAATTGGGTTGGGTGACAAGACAACTGAGATGTGATCTTGCATACGACAATGGATGCATACAAAGGTGCAAAACTGATCCTAGTGTTGCAGATCTTGTGAGGCTTCGTTCCACAGTTGCCGCAGCACGCAGAGCAGCAGGTTTTCGTTTGCGGTATTGGTCAGATGTTGATCCATACAAAGCAGTTTTGGTTCATTTAGCTGACAGTGGACACGCAAACGGAACACCAGAGACAGATGGTATCTTGAAATACCGTTCAGTTGGTGGTTACTTCTTGATGCTTGCAAATCCCGGCATTCTCACTGGAGAAACTGTCCGCCCTAACATTTTATCATTTCAGTCCCAGCAGACAAAGCGAGTTTGTCGGAGCACCCTTGCCGCAGAGGCGGCGCACCTTGCAGAAGCTGTGGAGGCTGGTGATTGGTTGGCAGTGTTGTTGGCAGAGGCTCTTGAAGGAGACATTGATCTGAAGAATTGGGATAAAATAGTAGAGTCCCGAGAACGGGTCTATGTCACGGATGCACGATCCGTATTCGACTACTTGAGCAAAGAATCGACACGCGCAAGCAGCGACAAGCGCATGGCAATTGAAGGTGCATTGTTGAGGGAGACGGTTCGTCGACCAAATGCTCATACACGTTGGATAGACGGAGAACAGAACATGGCAAATATCCTTACAAGGTTTGGAGCAGACAAAGGCTTTGTTTCAATACCTGAAGGATGGTTTGTTGAGCCTTGTTCAAACAGAGGCAAGCAAGAAATCGAAAGAAAAGAAACGCTTGCAGCGACAGACACGTCGCAAAGTGCTGAAGGAGACCCCATGAAGCAGAAGATCAAAGATGATCGAATCAAAGATTTGGCACGACAGATGCAGGCAGAGGCAGCTGAATCATCTCCAGATGAAACCGCTACAAAGTCAACAAAGAAAATATAATGGATGTGAGAGTTGCAGGCTTTCAGAGCAGATTGACTTTGTTTGTATTCCGCTGCCATTTTTATTTGAGGCCGGTCCGAACATCAGAGCCTGTGAGGCCACATTTGTTCAGGCCTGCGCGGCCCCTGCACTAAGGATGACACGCACAAATCCAGAGAGCTTTCGACAGACGCCGATCCAGGGAATCCTTTCATGAATTCATGTTTCACTTTACCTTTTTACTTCGTTCATCGATCCGCGAGCGAGAAACAGGCCCAGTCCGTTACCAGTTGCGCACTCGCAGTATGTATATATATATACACAGTGAGGATGAGACACGTTGATATTTGGAAGTTTCTTTTGGTTTCAGGTTTCAACTGGACCACTTTGAAAGGGATGTGTCGTTTGACATTCGGTGACTGTCACCCTCGGCGATGCAGTCTCCGGAGCCTCGAAGAACCGCTTCCATGGCAGAGGAGTTGCGGTCGACTGGGATCAATGGAGGTCTTGAAGAACGTCTGATCAAGTACGTTTTTTCCTTTTTGACCAATGATCAAGTCAACGAATGATATAGATCTGGATGATCTTCGGTTGAGTCAATCACCATGATGGGCGACCCACGCGATGGCGAGGCCCAGGTTGAGGTTGAACTCATGAGGCGCCCTGAAAACCGCTCCACAGAGGTTTCGTCACCCTTCGTCACAGAGGTTCGTGCAATTCGCTTTGCCAAAGACCTTGGACTGGGATCAGCAGTTCATACTTTGAAATCCTCAGGTTTATGGCATGTCAGTGGTTTTTTCACCAACGTCTCAGGTTGGTCAAGCGATTTGTCTTAAATTTGGAGTTCGCAGGAAGTGGTCAGATGTGCACAAGCGAACCAAGAAGCGGTGAGGGCACCTAGAGCGGCGCAAAAACACGAGTTCCGAGAAGATCGCATTGACTGAACGGGTCTTTTGAGAAGTCACAAAAGATTTGATCCGTCAAGAAGAGCTTTGATCTACAAGACAATTTCCAGGAAATGGCTGTACAAACGAACTCTGTAGGTAGAAAGACTCCTGCTTTTGTGACTTTTGCTTTTGTGAGTTTGTCTACGTGCAGAACCTATGTGTTTAGACATGTCACCGATCGTCCGGTGACCACTTGGCCGAAAGCGTCCACCAATGAAGTCAACAGGAAGGTCTTCTTACGCTGAGGTGTTGCACGGGAGGCAGAACCCTGCCCGCAAGTTGGCCAAGGCTGGACAGGTGTTGCGTTGTGTTCCTTTTCATTCACGATTTTGTGTGTATCCGTTGGCAGACTCTGTTCTCAAAGGGGGACATGAACGAAACCGCTGTAGTTGGACGTTTGTGCTGCACATCCTTGGACGGTGCCATGACATCCATGGGTGCCATCTCGATCGTCCCATTTCTCATTCAGCGGATATCGTCCCATCATGAAGGAAGAGATCACCAAATGGAGGGGTGCTCGTTTTTGGGGGCACTGTTTTTGTTCAGCTTTGCGATGGTAGGGAGGGAGGATGGAGTCGCTCAAGACTCCCAAGCCCAGCTATGAAAGCATCATTCCTCGACTTCATTTCGGCTAGAACTCGCCCTGCAGATATGCGCCACTATATACTCTACCGACCCTGCCGCTACTAGTACGCTCAACTCCACCGGTCCCATGGCTTCATGGCTCTTTTCCACCCAACCTTTCTGCTTGGGAGCGAACCGTGCTGCACCCGCGCACCCCGCGCACCTCGCGGAGGTTCTGCCGGAGATGTTGGCCTTGCTGTGACCGACGCTGCGAGCGGGCTGACGGAGCCAAAAAAAGCAGCAGGGTAGCGGGCGCGTTGCAGGTCGGCCGGCTCTGCGGGGGCGCCGCTGGTCGGGCGGGGGGAGGTCTTTGTAAGGTCTCCTTCTTTTGGAATTCTGTGAATAGAACGGCGGAGGATACTTGACGTATCATCTAATTATATATAGTTATCTTGAAGAATCTCTCTGGCCGTTTTCAGCCATGACAATTTCCAGTCAGTCGGGTTCCCCTAGGGATTCAACTTCACCGTCGTCGGTCCAGTGCATTGGCAAGGAGGAACACCGTTGGCAAGTAATCTTGGCCTCCACGTGGTGTTGGCCATTCTTTTTCCGGGTGCAAGTTCGGCATTTTCAGAGACTCGTGCCAAAAGGAGCAGGGAAATAAAGAAAAGATCATGAAGATCAGTCAAGGAGCCCAACCATCGCGTTGCGGCCAATGCTGATGATGATGACCTGGTTGTGAGTGGCCCAAAAATATCTTAGTATGACATACACATGCCTTTCTGACCTTTCTCATGTTTTTGTTTTGTGTAAGAAATACATACATTTGTAGTTGAAGTGAGATACGGCATCTCCAGACCCACAAGGGTCACCGCGAGAAGACGACATTCTTGCCCTTTGCTGATGTCTTATCCAAGTTTATGATTTGGGTTGTCCAGGGACATTCTACAAGAAAGTAGCCTACACAACAAATCCATCATGATCATCTCTTTCTTCCCTGGAACCCTTGGCAGAGTCTGACATGAGACTGCCTGGGAAGCTTTGATGGACCTGCCATGGTGTTAGATGGTCAATTCCTTTTTCCATGACATGGACGTGATGCGCCATCACGAAAGACAACGTTTTATTTAGAGCCGAGAGTTTCCTTCAAAGAAAGTCCGCAACATGTTCGAGGCTTTTAGCAGAAGTATCATTTTGATCTGCCCGGAGACAATGGTCGAAATCGGTGGAAAACACGTTTCCCGTGTTTAGTTGAGACGAGCTTACATCGCCCAAATCTGAGATATGGCCACAATTCTTGGTGAAGATCTCTGTTTGCTGGCTGTGTTTAAAGGCACGTTAAGATCCAGGCACATGCCTCTTCCGTGTGCGAATATTTTGGTTCCTGCAGCCTGTGTCCTCCTCTCCTCCTCCTCCTAAGGAGCTGGGGGGGGGTTGGAGCTGGATAAAGCAAGTGCAATTCTTGGTCTCCAGCTATAAAGATGGCCCCAAACAGCAACAGACCAAGCACAACCATGTGCTTTTGACCGGTTTCATGCCCGGTTGAATGACATGAACTTGGCTTGAACCATGCAGCACAACGACCATAGCGGTTATGTAATGTGATGAGGCACCTGGTCTATTTCTCCAACGTCTTCCAATCACCCCAGGCTCAGGTGGTGCGGACGAAACAACAGGAACAACACAAACAGACGAGGAAAAACATAACAAAAGCAAGCGTATTCAATCGCCATGAAGAGCCGCCAAGTCGCTCCCGATCCCCATCCGCCAGTGCCTGGGTCGCGTCGCTGGCGGACTGGGGAGGGACTGGTTTTTCTTGTGGACGCCCGTTTAGAATGAGGTCAGGTTGCTTTTTCGTGTCTCTCTTCTTTTTGGAATCCATTCAGGTGCAGAACCAGAAGAGCTTCGCTTTCTTTCATCGAAAGCGACCAACAAGACAAACTATTTTGGCCTCGCAGTGTTTTCGATGTGGTTGCTCCGGTCGACCTCGCCATCGTACGGTGTTGCTCCGTTTGGACGCCGTTGGGTGCGAGCAAAATTACGAGTTCAATTGGCCTTTTTGGTGTGGTTTTTCAGATGTGCGGCACACACAGAGGTTTATGGTCCAAGAAAGAACCGAGGGTTTAACATTTTGTTTAATTTGAACAAGGGTTCGGGGCATCAACATCGTTTGGAATTCTTTTCATGGTTGCTTTCCCCCAACTCAGGCGCAGAATGGGGTGACCTCCGTCGGAGCCTCAGTGGGTGTGAGTTTGAAGCACCAAGCACCGCGCCTGCGCCTTGAGAAATCAAAGCTTTTAGGTGACGAAAGGTGACGAAGGTGTGTGAACTGGGTGGATGGAAGAGGAATCAGAGAAATGCAAGGCGACCATGGAGAACACCGGGCATGTCGATGGATCTAGTCTGTCGTCTGTCAGTCCTGTTTTTGGGCGTTACCCGGTATTCGTTCTTGACCACAGACCCACAAAACACGGGTGACATGAACATGAGCGCTCTCACCCGAAGATGCAGGGTGAACCACACCCTCCAGACCAACAATCAGGGGTGAAAAGACTCAGAACGTTCAGGGACACCTGTGAGGCAACTCAAGAAAAGACCACTCAAAGATCCATATTTTGGTGGCAGAACCACTGAATGTGACTGCGAATTGACATCAAGCGAAAAATCTTACCGTCCAAACCACTCACATACCTGGACCATCCTGGACATGGGTGTCGCAGCCGCTCTTCGGGATCTCCAGCAACACCCATGTCCGACCGTCCTGGTGTGTCTCATCACCCTCCGACCGCTTCCCGACCCTCGGTCCTCGATCGATCCAGGTCACCGCCGCCACGCGGAGCTTCGGCTGGGGCGACCACAGCGATGCCATGTCGGTGATGACCCGGGAGACGCGCGCGAGCGCCGAGCGCCGCAGGCCGAGACCGGGGGAACATCGGGTCGGAGCGGGTCTTTTGGAGGCAAAGATTCGGTGGAAAAGATCTTTAATTTATTAATTTGATGTGTTTTTCTTTCAGGCAAGGGGAAGGGTTTTTTTAGATGTTCTGAGGGATTTGTTGTGTATTGTCAATTGTCCCTCAGCTTGAGACAAGAGCCATGCAACCATGCAGCTCACTCAGGAGGTTTCGGTGGATTTTCAACATCTATCGCTTTGTTCGAACGGAAGCTATGCAATAACCATGCACCTGCAGCGGGGCCTGGAAGAGTACTTTCCTCTGCCGCGTATTGCTTGTGCTTGGGGTGAGACAGACCCAGTCTTTAGCTGGAAGAGTATCATGTAGACCGTTGATATTTCAACCCCCCAAGCCTGAAGAGGTGGCCTCCAATCCATGTCTGGGGGGCTTTTATTGGTCAGTCAAGACAATGTTTGGACAACACATGCTGAATTGGCCAGGCCTTGCAGTATCGAGCTGACAGTGGTGCTGGTACTGGAGGTTGGACCCGGGATATGGAGCCAGCCGCAAGAAGTCGAGGGGTAGGTCAGACATGGTCAGACGGCTATTTTTTCAAGTTAGAAGTCCTCATTAAAAGAGCTTGCAGGAAGGAAGTGAGTATAGTGCATTGAGAGTAGATGGCATAAATAAGTTGCCCCAAGTTTGGTGGTGCAATCATGGATCCTCATTTGTCTCATCTTCGGGTGCCTCTGCCATGTACTCTGAAACCGCTGTACATTTAGATACCTGTTTTGGCCTCCCACTTTCAGACGTGTGAGACACCTCCAGGTTGTCATCATCATCGCCTCCGTGATCATTTTGGCCACGACACGCGGCAGCGAAGATGTTTCGGCGGTAGCGGCTTTTTTGCTCGTCTTCTGTTTGTTATTTTTCCGATTGTTGGTTCCTTCCGCGTTTCTGGCATGTTCTTTGTGCGTCCGCGTTTCCTGTTTCGCCGCAGGTGCACCTGGAATTCAATAGAGGTTTAATGCCTAGCCTTTGGCAGTGTGAACAAAGGCACCAAACCATCCATATGTGGAAGTTTCATGAAGGTTCTATACAGTGCCACAAATGTGGTACAGCTGAAACCACACCATACCAGATCACATGTTCAACGACCAGACATCCCATAAGAAAAACCGATATGCTAACGCCTGATGAAAAACCGATCTCCCATGATGGACTCCACGACAGCTTCTTCAGACTCCACGAGCTTCTTCAGGATGGGATCTGGAGATGGAATCACCTTCCGCACAGACATCGGTGCTTTGATCTGTCCGGGGCCCCCAGTGGTGCTGGACCCCTCTTCTTCACTCACGCGAGCGACGCGAGCGACGGGCGGTTGGTCCAGGGTGGTTGGTCGAGTCGGCCTGTTTGGACGGAAGGAAGGGACCCTTTGTGGGACTCTCCAACACCGTTACACCGTTGGTTCCCGAAAGAGACAGAACACAGAAGACGTGTTTAGCCTGGGCTTTGCAAAGAGAGAGGTCGTTTTGGGTCATTTGGCACTGAGATCTGGCTGAAGGTGTTCCACTTGACAGAGCTTGGTTGAAATGAATCTTCCGCCCCTGATAGATTCCATGTTTGTTTGATAATTGTAGAGGTCCCCAAATAGATAGTGGCACGGTGTCCAATGAATGTTGAAAGGGATATCCATTTGGGGGTTTGTATACCTGGAAAGGCGTATGAACACTTTGTTTTGTGCGAAGGCCGTCTTTGGACATAATTTCTCGTAAGGACATTTTAATTAACGAATTGGCGTATTTAGCCGTATGGACAAAAAAAACAATACCGTAAAAAAACGTACCCATATGAAACCCAAACTTTATCAACGTTTTTTTGACAAAAACCCAAACAATTACCGTATATTATATTGATAAAACCCAATCAAACCCAATATTCGGAGGAATTCCAGCCGTATTTGTCCATTTAAAAAAAAAGGCCGGATGCACGGATTGTTTTTGTGCGAACGTGTTTGAACAAAAACATGCACATTTGGACTCCCTGGTATATATAATCGCTTTCAAGGAATTCTTCTCCTCAGTTTCGGGCGAATGACGCCACCTCTTTCGACAGGCGGCTTGATCATTCTACTGGGGATGCTTATGTTGGCCTTGTTGGAGATCGTCACCAACGGAACCAAGGCCAAAGAGGCCACGAATTCCGATCGACTGGGCGTGGTGTCAGCAACCAAAGGGGGTGCAGAGGACCCTGGCAGGTGAAGCAAAGTAAGAGTTCCCCAGAACAGGTTGGTGGCGGCGGATCCCAGCACTGGTTCCGAACTGGTTTCAATCGGTGTCTTGCCAAGTAGCCTTTTCTAGATTCCCAAAAGCACATTTGCAGAAGATATGCGCTGCTATTTAGAATGCACATGTGCACATGGGTGTTTGCTCCAAGGTGTTTCAAGCTTGAGACCGGACGTTTTGTCAGGTCCTTCTGGTCTATTTGCAGATCACGATTCACTTCAATGCGGCTGCATTGGGTGCCCTCACCCTTTTGGGTCATGCTACCTGGCTTCTTGCACAGTTGCTGCTGATTCTCGTCCCTTGGCCGGAGTCAGCTTCAGCTTGAAAGAGGGGGGCCTGTTCTTTTCATACGACCTTTTGGCAGAAAGTGACACCCAGCACGCACTGGGAGAGAGAGAGAGAGAGAACAACTCAGTCAAGATAAATTCTTGCCTCAAAGTAGAAGTAGTAGCACTCCAGTTACCTTTTAAGAGCAAACTCCGTGGCTCAGCTTTGCACTCCTTGCGGTCTTGTCCTTCTGTGTCTTTCATTTGGACAGACAAGTCAAGCTAGCCTGGGAGCCCATGTGATAGACTTTGCAACTTGGATTTTCAACAATGAAGATCTCTAGATTCTTGATCTTCTTAAGGATCATTAGATTACAGAATTAGTTTTTGTATAAGTCGTTGGATTTCCGGATCGAACGTGTCTTCTCCTCCGGCGATTGGCGACCGATGGGAGGCTGCCTTCGCTTGGGTCGTGGGCTGCTGCGGAGGAGCAGCCCTGCCCTTGGCGAAACACAGGGAGTTCTGGAGAAAAACATGGAACCTGTCAGTCCTTTTTGTCGAACATCGGCCAGTGCAGTCTGAATGGAAGGGTGGATGCATAGTTGAAATGCTTAGAGTCCTGAGCTGAGCTTCAAGCCTTAGAAGCCTAAGAAGCCTTACTGAGTACATCAGAAGCCAGCAGCTTCGAACTTTATCTTGAGGTCAGCCTGTGGCATTGGCTCTACTATCAGAAGGCTTGAGGGAATGCACCTCTCTGGTGAGCATCGCAGCACCAACCTTTTCACTGGGGTTTGGAACATTCGGCGGTCTCTTGGGAGCGGTGCGAACATGCTGCCCTAGCAGGGATGGCGAGTCCCTTTTCTTTTTTCACCTTCTTCTTAAACCTTCTTGCTGGCGAATCGACTGGATTTCGACTGGTTTTCTTTGTTTGATTCCATATGCTAGCCGCTAGCCGTCGTCTTACGGCTTATGGGTGTTTTTTTCGAGCCGAGCCTCAGAGATGGGCGACAGGAGAAGCACTACAGAAGCTTCGCCGCCAAAACGATAACCGTCAACTGAATCATGTTCTCTTCTTAACAGGACGTTGGTTCCCCAATTTTCATCCAACCTTCTATCACCTTCTATCTCATTCAGCTGTCGATTGCGCGTCCAACCTGCGGTCGGTGGGTAGCAGCCGCACCATGAACTCGCATCGGCGATGCGTCGGTTTTGCGCCGAACAGGTGGTGCCCAAGCCGCGCATGGGACATTTGTTGACCCTGTTGAGAGCTTTGCATTGGAAGCGGCTTGGATCAAAGGATTCAGTTGGAATCTCATCGAAGTGTGCCTTGATCACTGGATTTTGGACATGGGGGATCAAGCCCCTCTAGTCATTTCAGAGTTTTTCAACGGGTCCCCCGAAAACATGTCAATACGGTCGATCGATCGATTTGGATTGAGCGAGCTGTGTTGCCACGTCAGATGGGCTGTCTTCTACTTCCAGGATTGTCAAGATATTTGGTAAAGTCTGTCTTAGAAATTTCAAGAGAAGATATATATATATATATACAGTATATCATTGATCACCTATTTTGTCAGGACACTCAGTATTGAACGCAATTTGGGAGTGATCCCCAAAGAGGTAGGAAGGTGCATTCATGTTTACTATCTTGGAGAACATCGACTGTCGATGTTCGCCGGTGTTCGGCCCATGAGAGGCAACCATCGTCCGAGGACAGCGTTCTTCTGCTGGGCGGTGCTGGTGACGTTGACGGTGGTCGCTTTGGTCTTTCCCAAGCTGCCAGAGACGGTGGGTCTCTCCCAGGAGGCCAGGACAGTGGGGCCGACGGCCGGGCCAGGGGCCAAGTCCCGGATCTTGGGATTGTTGAGAGAGTGCGAAAGTGACATGCTGTTTGTACAGAGTGCACACCAAGAACCGACTGCTTTTGGGGTGAGCCAATAAAGCCCCGAATGAGCTCTTGAGTGCTCTTTTACACTGTTGGATGTTGCAATGTCAGGAAGGGCGCCAGCAGTGCCACCGACCAGTTGGTGGAAGAATCGAAGATCATGGAAGTTCATCGACTCCCTCAGCGTTTTGACAAACTCGATCTACAAGTCCCGGTGACCCAAAATAGATTCTTAATCTTCATGAGCATTTGTCACACCAACTTTTGGGAGCCTTTGATCTCATTTAGGATCCCAACTGCTATCTTTGCAGTCTCTTTTCCCGCCGGAGCATCATTGAACCTAGCCTATCCCAGCTGCCTTTCCGGCGCCGTCGTCGGGTCACCGTGTTTTCCGCTCACCCGGTCCCAGTTGAGCCTGGCGGAGCATGTGCTGCTCATGGGCACCGGTGGCCTCTGCTACTCGGCGCTCTTCTCGCCACTCTTCTTGGCGCTCTCGCGCCGGGCCCGGTGTACCATGCGCCGCGTGGCCGCTCGGCGGAGTGGAAGAGCGGTGGGTTCTGATCTGGGTGGGGTGAGTATAAAGGTGAATAAAGGTGACCTGCGGTGAGTCAAGGCTCACCAGATTATATAAACTATGGCTTTGACATATCTTATATTGTTGAAGTTCCCTAGAGAGTTCTTTGAAGCCAGTGCTGCAAAGATGGACGAAGCTGGTGGACTGGTGGACATGAATATAGAAGAAACGGTTTTGGCTGCTTTTCTGCCGAGGCTGGTCGGCGGAAAGGGATTTGCAGCTTGGCTGGAAGAAGGAAGTTCGGAAGTTCGTGATAACTTTCGTCAATACAGATTACCACCAGGCTGAGGTGTATTGTTGAGCAACTTTCTGCCTTGGGTTTCTTGTTCCTTGGTGCCAATATGTGCCAATGCCGCTCAGAGAAGACAGGGATGTCGTGTCTCCTTTTGGAAAAACCGGGCGAAGGAGATGCGCCTAAAAACGCCTAGACCGCCTAGACCCCCAGGTCTCCAAATTCTGATCATCTTGGGCCTATCAGTGGTGCTTCACTTTGCGGCAGGGCTGGTGATTCCGCTGGCAGCGCCTGAGTTGCACGTGCTGTGTGGTCCCTGAATGAGCTTCAGCCCCTTACAAACGAGGAAAAAGAGCCAAGCAGAGGCTTGGGAAGATGTTCCGCATCGTTCTTGATCAGCATTGATGTTCCTTTTCGGGGTCAGAAAGTTAAGGCAGGCATGGCAACATGCGTTGGCCGCAAAGCATGCTTCACTCAGCACCGCTAAGCACCTCGAAACATGATGGCCAGAGCAAGACGAACTTAGTGGGCCATCATGTTTTGCGGGTTAGACCTATACAAAACACCACCCTCTAAGAGGGTTGGCTTACTTAGTGGGTTTCGGGGGGTTTTCTTTTGCTTTGTGGTGTCCACGGCACCGGATCGCTGTGGCCGACCACGACGGGAATCGATCGTTTGAAGGCAGACCAGTCTGACCAGTCTGCCCTAGAGAGAAGAACAACGAAGCAGCACCCCAGTGGTGGGGATATGTTCAGTTTTCTCGATTTTCGTCGATTTTGAGAATCCACAGCACATGGCCTTGAGGCACACATTCTGATTTTCATCCTTGGTCTCATGCTGACTTGGCTGCTGGTCAGCCTCACGAGATGCGCCAGAAGGCTGATCGGTGAGTGAGAGGACCATGAACTACCGGTTCTGCACTGATTTCTTTTGATTTCCTGTCACAGGGGTCAAACTATGTCAAACTGGCTTTCCAGCGATACGCAGCCTTCCGAGGTAGGCTCAACCGAATCTGAAGTATCCTGAAGATGTTTTTGCGGCCGTGTCCCAGAGTTTGTTGACATAGCATTGCTGGTGCTGCATTTCACTCACATCTTCCTAGGTGGGCAGTCTTTGATCAGTTGGATTCGCATGGGTCTGTCCCTCGACCGGTCGGCTGCTTGCTGCTCCCCTCAAGATCGCATGGGCATGTGCTGAGCACCTGAGGAACCCACGGAACTCGTGGAAACCCGAAGAACACACCGGTCAGCGTTCCCACGACACATCGAGCAACCGTGGGGAAGGGAAGGACACATCGAGCCGTTGAAGCGACAACGATCTTCGAACAACCAACGCCAACCGACGCGACCTGCGGCGACCTGCAGTGCTCCTCACCCGCTTTGGCCCCAGCTGTTTCGGCTTCGCCCCGCGCAGCGCTCGCCGCACCCGCATCCGCGCTCCGCACACGCACCGCGCTCCGTCTGCCCTCCGTCGATGGGCAACATTCTCTTCTGCGACTGCGAGCAGATTCTCCAGGCACGGAAAACGTGGTCTTTTCTTTTCCATGTTTCTTTTGGTTCTGCCGTCGTTTTCACCCGGGTGTTTCTATCCGTACAACGAACGTTGCATGGAACAAACAACAGCCCACTCGACCCAACGTGGTGCGTTCGGCCCCAGATCGGCTCCCTGGGTTTTGGGAACCCACTGTTGGGGGGAATCCCGAACATTGCCTGTCCGAGATGAAGGGTTCCCGGAGCAAACTCCATTTCTTTCACAGGCAGGCCAAAGCAAAATAGGAAGGAAAGCGCCCAACAAGTGCTATTTGTTGCAAGCTGCAAGATTACTCTGTTGCTGTTTGAATTCAGCACGACAAGGCTGTTTCAATGAACGATCCACATCATCCACATACACCTCTGGGTGTGGGTGGTGTACCTCCTGCCTTTTGCTGTGAAATGATACTGTACCGGATTCCAAGGAGGCATTTTGTTTGGTCCTGCATTCCCTGATCTACAACCATCCTGGACCCTGGAATACGTAAGATAGGGCAATCTGAAGTCCAAACGCCCAGTCATTGACTTTTGGAGGGGTGCACATTCCCAACTGGATAGGACCTTCAGTCCCCCAAAAAAGGGCTTCGGCTTCAGATGTCGATTTGTTGGTTTTGAGAGGACTTGGACTGACTGGACTCTTCACTTCACCCACCGACTCGCTTTTTGCCGCACCGACTCGGGTCTTCGGTCAGGCGAAGGAGGATCGCGATGGGCTTGATGAAGTGAACAGCCAGATGGTCCACAGGTGGGGGGGGTCCCCCTCCCAGCGAACAACTCCAACAAAAGCACCAGGTGAAGCCACTTCTCCGATCGCTCGAGACGGGACTCTTTGCGGAGAAAACCCCCTCAAAACGAACGCCGAGCTCGCAGGTACGGTGTGGGTGTCTTTTTTCGGTGTACCACTTGTACTGGGACGTCCCTGGTGTTGACATCGGACTGGTCAGAAGTTGGCTGCTTGGGGGTGTGGGGTGGACAGCCTTCGCCTTCTTTTTCCATCAGCTCAAGTCGAGGCGAGGTAACCTGATCTTTGCAAAGATTGTCAGTGGACACTGAGATGAACTGCATGTGTTTCATGTGTTTCCAAAAACCTTCAGTCTTTTAGAGGGCGCAGCTCGCCCAGCTCGCACGAAGATGTGATGCGCCAGCCTGTTCGCGTGCGCGTGCGCTCGCCGTCCGATTGACGCTACAAACATCTACAAACCTTCGATGTCAGTCTGTCTTTTTCCCTGCGAAAACATGCGAAAAGAACCTCGCACCCTCCAAGATCGGCGTTTCTTGGTGAAACCCATCCGCGAAACAGCCGGTCCCCAAAACAGCCCCCGGGAGGGTGCTGGAATTCGGGTTTCCTGGTGTCTCAATCAGGCTCTTTGAGCTGTATAACTACGACCGCCACGGGAAGCTCTCGGTGGATGAGTTCGTGACCATGCGCCTGAACCAGAAATGCAGCCATGCGAACGTGTCCCAGGCTGAAGGGTCTGAAACGAATCAAGAGAAGGTCCAGGCTCAGCAGGCACAGTTTGGCTTTTGAATGCTATCAATTGATATTTTTGCGGGGGGGGGGCAGGCAGGTCGGCAGGTCTATATACATTGATATGATATTGTGAGATGATACATTCTCGTATGGGTGAAAAATCATCATTTGCATGGCGGTAGTAAGAACTATCCTTTGGGCAGTTGAGGTTCTGGAGGTAGATGACTGGGCTGCATAGGTAAACCGCCAATACTGGGGGTACACCGAGTGGCTTCTAATCCTGTCCTTGAACTCGACAGGATTTCTCCGAACAGATCAAGGAGCAAAGCATCCGTGAATTCCACACTCAGCCTCTCGGCGGAAACCGTTTGGAAACCTTCATTCTTCGTGTACCGAACCCTTTTTGGTGGGGAAGAGAAACCATCTCGAGAGGCACAGTTGCGGTCCTATGCATCACAAGCAGAGGCCATTGGTGAAACTATAGACTATAGAATTGTTTGACCTTTGTTTGGATAAGCCCAGGCATCGCAGACCACATGTTGTTTGCTTGACGGTCCACAATACTGTAGCGGTTTGTGCATACAACGCACATCACAAAAAACGCACACGAATCTCACCATCTTGTCCGCGCCTCGAGTTTGGTGTGCTTTCAAAAGACCTGGAAGAACAGCAGAATGTCTGAGGCTTGATGCCAATTTCAAGCCGGTTTCATACCGGACCTTCAAGCAATATATGTACCTTGGACCATCTTGGACCTCTGGCTTGGGCTTTTGTGTTATGGGACGTTGCAGATTTCTGTTGGTGCCAAGATCGATGTTTCTGGTGGAGTCGTCTCTTGTGGTGCCATTTTCACCGGCCCCCGCTGGGGTCCGGCCCGGTCAGACCGTGGTCTCAGAATGAGGGGACCCCAACACATTGGTTTTTGGAGCAATTAGGCAGTTGGAGGAGTTCTTGTCAGGCCACAGTAGCTTTTGTTTTGCTGTCAGCAGTAAACTCTTGTTCAGTGAGAGTCACCTGCCGCGTCACCTGCCGCATGTGCATGCGTAACCCAGGTGGCGCAATTTGAAGGCCATCGAGCCGACCGACAGGTGCGCGAGAATAGCACGCTCTGCGCGGAGGTGGAAGGGCTCCTGGCCTCGGTCAGACCCCGCCACCGGGTCGCGCCACAACGCCCGGGTCGAGAGTGGTTGGGGTCGCCACGTCGGATGCGGCAGGAACGCGCAGTTCCTCATCCTGGAAGGGCTATTGATTGAGGCGACCGTCGCGACCGTCTCGCGAAGTCGCCGTGGTTTGCTCGATCGGCGGAGAGTGGTGAAGGCCTCGGCGTCTGGTCGTTTTGTGGCCTCTTCGGGGCGTGTTCTCCAAGAGGAGACTCCCTCAGTTCCACTCGGCAAGTTTGACATGGGATGGGTCAAGACCGGAAGGGTGGTTGTCCAGCTTGTCCATGTACAAGTTACTTTAAGTTTCTGAGGGGTGTACTGTGGCAGCCTGCCATTTCTCCGCACAAGCTTCGGCAGGCTCAGGTGGCTCGTGAGATGGTGGAGAGGAGCCGTAGGCCGCATGGGCGGCCGGACCTGATGACCTTGTGGAAGTGTAAGACCATTCTGGTAGGACTTTTGATTCATCAAGGGTCTACATATCGACATATGTTTGTGCATGTTCGTTTGCTGGAGCTGATGTGAGGCGAAATTTGCCAACAATCCTCACCAGCATTCCCACAGCGACAGCAGGCCAGGGCCAGGGATTTTGGGGTGTATGTTGGTACGAGTTTCGCCGTTTGAGATGTGGATTTGTGGCCCCCCAAAATCGAAAGACCATTTCCTAGTAGCGATGGCCTCCAACCAAGTAGCGATGGCCTCCACCTCTAATAGCTTTTTGTTCCTATAGTAGTAAGGCCAGGAGCTACTAATAGCGTCCGAACGCTCCGTTCGTAGCGATGCCCTAGAGAGGCCCCCCCACGTGTCGCCCGGGAGTCTCAAATCGGCGTTCGCTTTTGCTCGAGGTACTGAGTTCTCTCCCAAGCGCAAGGTGCCATCGGACGCGGGGGGCGAGGACCGACGCTTCGGCGAGCACGCGGTGAACTGGTCCAGGTCGGTTCAGGTCGCGGATGAAGCCCAAAGAACTTGAAAAATCGGAGCCTGGAAGAAGTTAAGACTGGACAAGCTCCCACGAAAACGTTCATATAATCGCTCGAGGTCCAGGAACTTCCTGAAACCTTCAGTGGGGAACAATCATGTAGCAATGTAGACTCGATCTTGATTATATATTTCACCCCCGCGAAGCCTGAAGAGGTTTTACAATCCATGTCTGGGGGAAGTTTCTATGAATCAAGCGTCAATATCAGAGAATACCATTGGATGTCTCTTCAGAGGTGGTCTCTCGAGGGACATGTGGCCAACTAAACTATATATTATAAGAGTCTAACTGGACTTCGAAGTCCCTGGCGCTTCACCTGGCGCTTCCCATAGGTGGCAGGTCCTCCGCTCACAGGACCAGCACGAAGGCGCGTAAGGAATGGACACCGACGCGGAACAGACGCGGACGGGATCCACTTGGAACCTTCTGAAAGAGGTGGATGATGCTGCGTGACAACAGATCAAAAGCCTGGTTGGTGAATTCCGCATGATTGGAGACGGGGACTTCATTCTCTTCGGTCTCTCGTGCATTTTTTGTCGGAAGTGGCACACCTTCAGACCAGGTTCAGAAATGTTCAGAAGGCCTTTCGCTTCAGAAGGCAGTCCTTTGGATGTCCAGTGCCACTTTCCACATGTTTGGCCCTCGAAGCATCTGGGATGCCGCCACGTCGACGTCCCCTGGGATGTGTTTTTGTGGCCAACTGAGCCGCCTTTCTTTCGTCCAGTTGTGGGAAGCTCTCCAGCCAGGCAATGATGGGCTTCTCGTTGTGCCAGTTTGCCCAACGAGGTCGAGATTTGCAAGGCGCCCGGCGCCCCAGCTTGCCCCAGGAAATGAGACCATTGTCAATTGTTCGAACCAGCTCTGACTCCCCCAGAATCACACCTTCCCCCCCGAGTCGTTTCGCGTGGACAGCACAGCGGCGCAGCGGCACCCCGCCGTTGGTCGTGCTGGATGAACGGTGGAAGAAAGACATTGGTCGCGTAGCCGGTCGCGAACCGAACGCTGTCGCTTGGGAAGGTGCTTTGAGCTTGGTTTCTTTGAAGTGTGGCACCATCCTTTATCCTATCATGAAGGATAAACGCCACAGCCATAGGAAACCTCCATGTCCATGTACTCAACGAATGAACAATGTTTATGAGTTAGCAAGGAACAAAAAAATCATTGCACTTTGACTGTTGTGAGCACGCCTTCATTGACATGGAAAATCCACCAACAGATCTAAAAACATCTAAGAATAATTTGATGAAGACTGCCGTTTGCCCGGTAAGGCGCAGACACACCTGAGCAACGCGGCGAACGAGCCTTCTCAAATTTACAATCATAATCATTTGGGTGTGGGAGAGAATTATACAATATTTGTAGATTTCCATTGCTTTACCGTTCTATGAATGCTCAATAATATTAACAAGTTCCACATCCCATATTTGCCATCAAAAGTTCGATACTTTCCCGCGCCTACAGTCAGAGTGGATGAGCTTGATTTGCCTGCATCTCGCGGCCCTATATACAGTATGTGTTTCACTTTCTAGCGCTTCACGCAACTCCGCTTGATGGGGCGCCAAGGCAAACAGTTCATTAAACTTGAGGGGGTGTGTATTGTATGTTGCTGAACCAGGTCAGCTGTCAGTTCAGCGACATGGCATATTAATTGTGGGAAGGAGAGGACCCAGAGCTGTTTGATTTTTAAGTGGAGCATAGCGGACTATATACAGACGCGCGGAGACGTGTTGCATTATGCCGGGCATTTCCTGATGGAATGCTCTTGACTGCTGTGTCCGCTGGCGGTGCTAGGCAGCTGGACAGCATGTTGTTGCGTCGAAAAGGTCCTTGGGAGAATTCACTAGGGAGCATGAGGTAGGCAATTGGGGTGGCTAAAAATCACATAACATTCTTTCAGCTCAATTTCAGGTGTCCACGCACTTGGCAGGTGTCCGCACACTTATCATGTTACTGCCGGGTACGGAAACAAGATGAAACTAGCTTATCTATATGTGTACGTATCCACAGTCACAGTTGATCCAAAAGCAGTACTGTACGGAGACTGTGATTTTAGGGGATGTTGCCTCTCCTATGTGGACCAAACTTGCAGTGACTCAAATCCACAGTCCGTCCTTGATTACACCCATGGTGTTTCGCCCCAAGCTGGCCATGTCAGAAACACATAGAAACACCATGGTCAAAGAAAACACATGAACCAGGAGTCACCAAGGGGTGGTTTTTAGTCCCATCCAGTGAGTGGATCATGGGCACCCCTAACCTCCATGGATCGCACCCCTTTGTGACTCCTGGAAAACACCGTTTCGCTTGGCTTTGCCAAAGCACCTTGGCCGCCTGCCCCGGTCGCCGTCCGGCACCAGGCGAGCCATTCGGCCGCCGTCCTCGACCAGCTCGTCGGGGGTGGGGGACACCGAGCCGAGTGGAGATCGAGGAGTCGAGCTGTAGGCTTGTTGAATGAGCATTGCTTCAGCCCGAAGACTGAAGAGGTTTTGCCTGCAATCCATGTGTGGGGAGGGAGGGTTTGGATTCATCAGCATTTCTTGGGAGGCAGGAAGCAGGTCGCAGGAGCGTGCTCGATGACGAGGTCACAGCGTTGATGTAGGTGACGGATCGATCGAAGGGTGACGATCGAATGATCCATCGCGTGCTGGTACCACGTCTAGAGTCTAGACCCGACCGGAGACCTATGCTTTGAGCGTGGATGCCATCAATTGGTGTGATTCCCTATCATTGGTGGAGTGGTGAAGGCAATTCTTTAAGAGATTTCTTGGAACGTGGACGTTGACGAGGGATCCCAGCACAGAAAAACTGGAATATCACTTGATGCGATGGGGGAACTGGGAAACTCGATCTGATATGAACCTGATTTATGTTTTTGTTTGCTCCGGCAAAAGCAGGGTGTTTTCGCCGGATTCGTTGCATCTGCGGATTTATCGGATTTTCCACGGTCTGGTACGCAGCGAAAACAACAACTTCGAGGGGTTGGGAGATTTGACTGTGAGAAGCACCTTGGTTCATCAGATGAGCTGGTGTACACCCTCCACAGGTGGGTTCGGAAGCTCCATTACAGCTGTGTTTCATTAATGAGCAGTCAGAGCAGTCTATACCGTTTCATCAAGTCTCCTTGCAAAAATGGCTTGGAAGAAACGACTGGTCTTCAGTGCTTGATGGTTTCCAACGGTTTCCACACGTCCAGACACTCTAAAGATAGCACTCGAGTCTGCACTCTGGGACTTTCCCTTCGTTCTTCGCCCGGACCGGCACAAAACTGAACCGATCTGGGCTGGTTACGACCGGTTGCAGGAAGACACTTCCTTCTGTTTTGGTGGTCTTGCTTCCACACATTCTGAGTCAGAAACATGCATAGACCAGACCAGTCTCTCTTCGGCTCAAAGTGTCCAACGATCGCCATGCCAATGGGTAGTCGCGGCTACAATGAAGCGGATGGGGCAGAGGTGCCTGATCTGCCGCAGGTTGCCATCTCCTTCTTGATGTTCATGCAACACTTTCCACTAGCTTGGCTAAGACCTCCCTACAAGAAGCCTGACACCGTCACCTTCTTTGAGGCGGAGGAGGCAGGAAAGCGTCAACTCGCAAGTCTTCTTGATCTCCGATTGGGTCAGCTGAAGTTTGCCAATGCTCAGCAGCTGAAGAGTTGCTTCAAGGCACACTCAGGTCTGGAGTTATCATTTCTTCCTCGTCAGGTCATCGTTTTGATACATCCAGATTTGCGTCGTCTAAAGGCAACTGCTGAAATCGTGCTCTGTCATAGCAAGCCCCGGCGGACTCCTTGGTTTGGCACTGGAAGTCTTTCGGCAAGCGTGCTGCTGACAACAAGCTCAATGCAGAACAATATGAGCTTTTTGGAGTGGCTGAGCATCAGAAACAACAAGTTGTTTGATGTTGTTTGAACATTCCTTGACGTCCACCCCAGAGGACGTCCCTTAAAGGGCCGAACTGATTGCTGATTTCTACAAGAACAACATTAAGTCCAGGGCTCAATTTCAGGATTCGATCATATTTAACTAAATCAATCTGTTTGGGGCAAAGACCGGGGGCTTTGCCATGTGTGGACAATCTGCTCCTGTAGGACCTAACCAAACAACAAGCACCCAGCTTGGGGACAGAACACCATGAGTTGCACCATTGACCCGGTCCTGCTGCGCAGTCCTGCCTGCGCCCGTCGCGCGCCTAGGCAGCTGGACGTGCGTGGTCAGAAAGTCCGACAGTGGCCGCAGCTGGTTCAGGCAGAGTGGCCGACTGTTGTTCTCGGGGCCTTTTTTTCGCTGAAACGAGTTGGGTGCTGGAAGAGAACTCGGCAGCTTCACATGAACTCGGCAGCTTCACATTTCCTACTTCCGCCTTCGACCCTGCCGTTTTCGGGCTTCGTGTTAATAAGACCGCACCGCGCTTCAGGCCACGTGTCCCCAATGCCGCGCCTCGAAGCCGCTTCCGGGGACGCCGCCCGCGGCCGCGGCGTGGCGTTGCAACGGCTGCCGTGGCGATCCGGAGAAGTGCCGCGTGGCGCGGCGTGCGGCGGCCGCCTATAGCTCCGGAGCGGTGAGAGCTAAAGGCACCTTGGAGTCGATGTTGCTCTCCGCGATCAAAAGAGGTGGGACCTGTCAATAGAACTGCTTTCTCAATTTATGTATTTTTTTCTTCTGACCGATGTTTTTCTATGGTCTCTGAAGACTTGTTAAGACTGGAATGTGCCACCACACCTTTTTCATGCTGAACACGAGTCACGACCCCCTGGCCGTAGGCCATGCAGAAGCAGCTCTGCTTTGCGCCAATGCTTTGGCACCTTTGGACTCCGCCGTCTTTCTGGATGCGGCCCTGCGGGGTCGGCGGGCAGGCATCGTCGCGACGATCTTGAGCTTCAGCGCTGAAGAAACGCTGCCGAAGGCGTTGGGAGCTGTCGAAAGTCATTGGCTCAACACTGGCAGAGATTTCAGGCTGATCCGACAGCAGTTACAGGAGGCCAGAGGTGCTTTCTTTTTGAACCCCAGAGATGAGGCCCTCTCACAGGATTTGACCCAACTCCTTCGGCAAGCTCCGGTTTCTTTGCCCCGGCCAGCTGTGCAGAGTGTTTGCTCCTTTGTGTTTTGCAGAGACCTCTCAGAGAACATCCGAGGAACTCTGGTGCTGTTGGGGCTCACCGAAGGGATGCACATCCGATCATGAGCGATTCGATTGATGATCTTTTGTGTGCGTTCGGACGAGAGGGAACCGTTCCCTGCTCAAAAGTATTTGACTTGCTTGACAGTTTCTGACGACCGTTCGATGCTGACTGACTGAAAGGGAGTGTTTTCGCCGGCAAGCGCCACCAAGTGCAGCTCCAGTCAACAAGGCCGTCATCAAAATACGATATTTGATTGGCTTTATAAGGATTTGCAGAAGCTGCAGCTCAATCTTCCAAGCAAGCCGGACGAGAAAGGAACTGGAATTCTCCAGCGACATGTTTATTTTTTATGACAATCACTCTACTGCAAAAACAAATCCAAGACCTTTCGAGCAGCTAGTGCGGACATCTATCCGAAGCACAACATCATCTCTCACGAGCTCGAGCGAGAAGAGTGATGTAGAGCATTGCCACCGGAAGAGAAAACAGCTCCAGTTCCAATTGAGAGGCTGATGCTTGAAACTGACCCTGTCACCATGTCAGGAGGGCTTGCAGGCTTGCAGTCCGTGCCACTCCATGCCACCCGGTCCACCAGTGCCCGGTGGTCAAGCTTCAAGGTTCACCGGTCTTGACCCTTACAGTAGCTGGTTATCTAACAGTGGACATATTATGTGGACACCGCTTTCCCACCTCACCCGCACCCGCACTCCATGCGCAACCACCGTCGTTCCCATCCATCCGGTCGCGAGAGTTTGGAGCCGCGTCCTGGCCCAGGTCCTTACAGCTCTCTTCATGCCTATGCTGGGGCTCTTGAAGGCTGGAGATGCCTTGCTCAGCCTGCTCAGCCTTTTCGTGGAGACTTCAACGAACTTCCACCCGTCCAACCACCCGCCACGAAATCAACCCCACCAGTCCAGTGGGGTCAGTGGTTCCAAGTGGCTTAACCGCCCCTTTTAGCATCGGCACAGGGGACGGCATGAGGAGGTTACCCGTCCGCGCGCGTGCGTGTGCCACAGCCCTCCAGTGCCGAACTCGCCAGGTGATGGCCTTCATGGCCCTCTTCCTCTTCGACTGTGCCTTCGTGGAGCGCTTCACCTCGGGCATCGGAAACCAGGCGAACCGCGCGGACGCGACGAACGCGACGAACGACGCGGTGAACAAGCGGAGCCGTGGAGTTTCTGGGCCACGGAGGGGGAAAGCAGGTTGCAGGGAAGCGGGTTTTTCTAGGCTTTGCAGGAGCCGAGGGTAGTGGGCGAAGCATCATTCATCATACTTTCAAGATCTTTCAGGTACAGTTTCTTAATGTTTCTTCTGATGCCCCTTGAGCATAAAGCTTTATTCATTGGAAGATGTCATGCAAACCGCATCCAGCTACTGCAAACGCTCATTCCTTCACAGTACCATAGTCGGAGCCATGAGGGGATGATAGGGGATGAATATCAATCGATGTCCCTGAGAGCACTGCCCCTCTCAACACAATCCCATGGACCATCATGAACCCTGAAAAGCACTAGTGCAGCGTTCGAGGGAAACAGTCGGACTCAGGGCGTGCCATTCGACCCGGGTCCATGTAAGTTTTCGGCCTTTCGAGAAGACTTCGTGTCCCCTCCCCAATCCGAGCCCAGCTACTGCTTGCTTGATGCCTAGCTTTCGAGTATAGCAACGGTTCCCAACATTCCAAGCGTCCGCCTCTGGGTGCTGCACTTGCTTAAGACCACACCCAATTTCCACCATCGGATTCCAGCACCTCATTCCAGGACTTTACGTTGGTGCAGCGAGATGGCAGCTGTGGTCAGCAGGGCATCCCAGGGTTGCTAGGGGTAAGCACACGCTTTACTTTTATTTATTGAGAAAACGATCCATGCAGTCTCTATGTTGTGGGTGTGCCAGAAAGAACCTTTAATGTTTAGCGGAACATTCGCAGGTCTTCTTATTTGTCCTATACCAGTGGAATTGCTTCATGAACAGAACTGAAATCCATGGACTGTAGTGGCACTCAAGAAATCCAATCAGCGCATTGCAACCTGAAGATGCTCTGACCGATTCAAGACATCTTGGCTCAAGACCGATTTAGAGGAGATCTCTCACTGATTTGACCAAGTTGGCCTGGAAAGCATCACACGCTTTTGTTTGAAGCACAGAGCACTGCCTGAACAAAGCTTTGCACGACAGCCGAAAGTACTGACACACTTCCTTGGTTGAATTATATATGTGCCGCACCTGCTTGTTTGACGCACCTGCACACAGCACACAGGGCAGGCGACACATGGAATAAGAGAGATATACTGCAGCCCAGTAAGGTTTGTGTCTATTCAGGGCAACTGCCCGAACCTGGGCAGTTTGGCCTCTCCTGGCTGTCATCTAAAGCAGCTATAGCAGTTGACCATCTTTGCTTCGACGACACAACCAGCACGCCGAAGCAATTGAACTGGAAAAACCTTCCTCAGTTTCGCTTCGACCACATCGGCTGCGAACTCCCTCGCCCGTGTTCTTCGCAAATGCTGGCTTTGCGCGGCAACTCCTGGGTGACACCACCCAGGTTGGGCCTCCCGTGGAGTCGGCGTGGTCCCCGCGCGCACCGCGGTCCACGCGATCGAATGGGGAGCTTTGAACGAGCAAGGAGATTGCCAGGAATGTTCAGGAGCTGCCAAATAGACAATGGCTATATACTGTAATGATAAGGAAAGCACAACCAAAAAAACCTGCCCTTTTTCCGCCTCCAGAGTGCCGGCTCGAATATGTATATATATATATATATATCAAACATGTGTGTTTTGTTGATTTAAGGATCCTTCAATTCCAGTTTGTGTAGATCACACATCGACACATCGACAAGGCATAGAAAAGACAATCTTTTTGCCGGATCGTGAGATGTTTGGTCGTCAGGCTGGCAGCGCCACCTTCTGGCCGTCGCAGAGTGGTGTGCACTGCGCCACTTGGTCCTGGCTTTACATGAATCATATATCATATATCTTTGGTTCTTCTTCCAAGCTTCTAACTTTCAAACGAAGGGCCATCTTTGCAACATTCATACCTCATTCCTTTGTGTGGTTCTCTCTTGTTCTTTCCACTTGTTTTCTTTGCCATCTCCCACTTTCAGTACTTCCAGCTCTCCTCCCTATAGTTTCCAAGAGGCTGGCGAACTCGGGCGATGACATCGCACGTGCGCCCAGCTGGAAAGACACCCTGAAGGCGGGGCGTTCTGCCGCTGTGTCGGGGGAGAGGCTGGGAGGGCCGATAGTGGCCACACGGGGCGGTTTTTCTTGATGTCTTTTTTTCCGTTTTTATTTCCTCCTTCCCAAAGGGTAGATGACCTGGAAACTCGGATGTGTCGGGTATGAAATGAACGGGGCTCTGAGATGGTTCCAGAAGATGCTCAAAGCACTTGTCGGTTTTGGCAGGAACACTGTCCGACGCAAGGGACTGAGGTCCAGGACGGGACATTGGAAGTCCGGACGGGACATGGCAGATCCCATTCTGAAACGGTCTCACTGGGAGCTGGAGCCTGGAGCCTCCTTTTTTGGCTCCTCGACAGAGTGCCTTCAAAACGCCGTCAGGGTGCTGCCTTCTGGGCCAATCCCAACCACTGGGACAAGGCGGGTTGTTCGACTTGCTCGGCACGTGGCGCTGTCATGGGAGTCGACCAAAGACCATAGAGTCGCTTTGCTGGGTCGACACCAACCTGTGCTGTGTTGGTAGATTGGCCCACACCTTCTTTTTTCAAATTCTTATTTGAGGTCCCTGAGGCGATCCCATGGTGGTTCCTTCTTTGTTTCTGAGTCTGGGGTGAGGTTTGGACCTGCATCCCATACTAAGATGACGGGTGGTCGAAACCAAGAGCAGGGGGAAGGAGCAGTGGGCCACTCTGGTTTTGTATGAGGCTTTGGCGCTACTAGTAGGGCGAAAGAACTCCACCGCGTAGTTCGCAGAAAAACCTTCCAGTTCCAAAGTGGCGGTGATTAGGTGCCCATTATCCACTCACTTCTGGTCTTCTATTCCACCCACTTACGTAACAGTCCTTTCTTTTTCCATTTGGTCGACAGATGTACGCAGAGGCTTCGTTGTGGCCGTCATTGGCAGGTCCCACAGTCTCTGAAGATGAAGCTGATCTTCATTTTTTTCAAGGTGGTGCCTTGGCTGCCAAGGCAGAGGGAGAAGTTCCAATTACGTATTAGCTGTAGCTTGGGGGTGTCCTATTACCTGTAAGAGTCGGTAAACCATTATTCCAGGAGAAATGATTTTACGAACCCCACTGTTACACGGAACGGGATATATCATATCCAAACTGTAGCGACCACCCAAAGAGTTTCTTCAAACGCATGGAACGTCCAGAAATTGAATGACATCGGGCTCCAAGTCAAGGTGACTCATGCAGGACATCCTGTACCACCATGTAACCACCTGGAACCGACCCCCAAACAACACGTTGCTGGTGATTCACCTCTCATCACTATTTACTTCAAGTAGGTGTTCGTCTTCGCTGCATCTTCTGAGAGTTTTTCGGATGCCACGGTCCATGGCCGGCCATGGGTCCTCAGCCAGGTGGGCACCATCGGAGGCTACCGTGGCCGTGCGGCCTTTGCCCGGAAGAGTGGCTTGAAGCCCTTGATGAAGCGACGGGAAGAAGCCCTGGTGTCTCGCTTCAGAAGCCCAGCTGGTGGCTTTTGTCTGAACATCGGACTGATGTCTATACAGTGACATCGACATATTGTTCCGCACATGGGGGGCAGAAGCGTTTTTCTTTCTTTTCCTGCACGAAGGATGAATCAGGACGAACCGACGAACATCTGCTCAGCTGATTCTTTTCGTGAACGGACGAGCAACTGGACACCTTCAATGGAGACACTCTTCTGCCGCCGCCTCGTCTCGGCGAACCGCCCGGTCCGCGGGTCCCCAAAACCGCTTCTGGAACGCGGAACGCCGGGTGGATCAGGTCACCCGATCCCGAAGCGGTTTGGGACCGATCCGTTCGATCCCGGGGGACCGAAGGGATGAGCCGCGGCGCACGCAGTTCCGTACTACGGCGACGGCGAATCGCACAGGCGGTGGTGGACCTGGCCTCGGAGGTGCGGGGCCGAGGGGCTGAGGGCCGGCGGTGTGAGGCGGTGTGTGGTAAAAAAAAAAGGAAGACCAGATGACAGATGGGGCGAAGGTGTGTTGGTGCCCAAGCACGGCCCTTTGGCCAAGCTTTGCCCTTGGAGACCGAGCCCAGAGCCGGAAAGTCCACTGCTCCGATTCGAGCGGTCCGTCGATTTGCTCGAGGTGACCGGTGACCCGAAGCGGGGGCCAGGTGAACTACGAGAAGTTCCCGAACGTTCAAGAGAAGTTGCGAGAGGCACCAGGCAGCGACCTGCGTGCGTAGCCGAGCAGCGTGGGCAAAGCGCTGGGCACGGTTTTTTGGGATGGATGGTCCGTTTTGTTTTTTGTTTGCCAAGGAACACACACTTCACAGGTCAAGAAGAAGCGGCCATGACCAGATGAGCATTGTCGAGATTCCAAGAACATCTCCAGATCAAACAAGTGATGTTGCTGACACCTGCTGATGCGGCATGCGAGAGTTGCCCATGGTGATTCAAGTTCAATCCTAAAAGGCTGCTGAAACTGCCATGTAGACAAATTATTCTCAGCAACGAGCAGTACAACCGGTCATGGGAGTGGGTTTTCGTCACAAATGATCAACTTCTGCTGAAGTGATCCAAGGTTATATAATGTTATACAGTTACAGTTATACAGTACATATGTTTCCAGCATAAAGGGTTCACAATCTGATGCATGCAGGAAGCCATGCTGCAGCAGTGGTTCTGCCGGTCTACACACGCACACAGCAGGCTGCCTTGCGGTTGGGGGAGCCTGTTTGTTCGGTTGGGCGGCCTGCCACATGGCCATCTTCTCCCGAAGCGGATCGTCTGCTTGGGCTACTCCAGCTTCGTGACGAGATCATCTAGTGATCACCTTGATCTTCAGGGGGCGAGTCTACCTGCACACGTTCAGCTCTAGAGCATGCTAAAGCTATGATGATCTGGAATGTTTCGGGTCACAACTACCCCAGATGGTACATGAATTCAGACTAATGATGTTCGTCGCTCTTCCATCTTGGTCCATCTTGACATTTGCGTTTCCTCAAAGCCATATCCCTGGCCTTCAATGTAGAAGTTATATACATCGACATTTCCCCATGTTGAAGTAAAACTTCGACGTTGGAAGGGCAGGGATATCTTTTTGAATGCTTTTGAAGGCAGGGCTTGGTTTCTTTGGAACGATCTCAGCTTCGGGTGGGGTGGGGACTAACCCCCCAAATCCACCCACCCCACCGGTTCCCGAAACGGAGGGGGCGGCGAAACGGAGCATGTGCCAGGAGCCCAGGTCTCTCCGTCGTCAGACTTTCAGACCCCTTCTGCAGGATGTCAAAGAGCTCCGCGCGACGCTGACTGCTTTGTCGAAGCAGACGCGCGTGCCTGATGTGGTGTTGCTGGTCCGGAGACCCAGTGGCCGATGCTTCGACCGGAAAGTGTTTGGGGTTCATGGCTGTCCATGGCGGGCCACAGATGTCTATGGGAGTCCATGGATGTTTTCGAGTGATTTCCGACATCTCTGGCATGCGATTGGATGCTTTTAGCCTGGGGATTGAGTCATTGATGTGTGGATCCAAAGCAAGGCACAGTGTACATGTCATGCATGGCGAGCCGAAAAGACGGAGTCACAACCAACATCACATAACATCACATATCTCCATGCCCACAGAGTAGCTGGTGCTGGTCGGGCTGCCTACCAGAAGTAGCTGGGGCTGCTGCTTCCTTGGTGTGTTGGCAGCCTATGGCTGCAGCCTAGGTGGATGATGCTTCGCCCGAAGAGCTAGAAGCTGCAACTCGAGAATGGCCGGATGACCGACTAGCACTGGCCCCTTGGATTCCAAGGGTGCTGTGATGGCACTCGGATTCAGACAGCTTCCTAGGTAGCTCCTCCAAAAGTTGAGATCGCTTTTCGTCAGACTCAACTTTTGATTCAATGAACTTCTTTTCTCAGTCGCTCGCACTGATTTATTTTTATAGAGAATCCACTCACGGAAAAGAACCTTCCTGGCAACTTACTGGGTCATAAACTCCAGGAACGACCAGAGTAAGAAGATCCCCCAACCATCATCTCCACTCTGGCCCCCGCCAACAAGAGACCCTTTCCCCCATGGCCCCCTCGCCATGGGTGCCGTCTTTACCTCCACGTCTCTCAGGTACGGCTCCATCGCAACGTGGGCCCGGCCGGTGCACGCAGCGTGGGCTTGCGGCTGCTGCGCCAGTGGGCGCGAGGCATGAGGACCGTTGAAAGGACGACGGTGAGGGGCAGTGGAGAACGAGTAACTTGTGGTGAAGAAGTTGAGATTCCTGATGAAACATGGTTTGAGGTCTTGAGCCATATTAACCCCCCATAATTCTGTAATTCATTTGAGAGCTGTAGAATGAACACCCTCGACAGCGGCTTGCCGCCACGTAGGCCGTGATGTCGTGGCTTGCCTCACTGACAGTGACGCTGCACCGGACAGAGAGTGGGTCGAGCAGATGGTTGAGGCACAAAGAGAAAGGCGTGGGTCGAAGTCGAATGGGCGGGAAAGCGGTCAGAGGACGTCAAGCAGATCTGGAGTGTCCAGTTGAACGTGGTGCGAAATCCATTCCGAAGAAGAAGAAAACACAGAGTTGGACAATCCCATCAGGATGTAGACTCTACAAGAGGGGGGTTATTTTGTTTGTTTGACATCAAAGCTTCACTCAGAGAAGGCTTTTCACAAAAGCCTTTGGGATCACCTCGTCCACCACTCTATGTTGCATCCTATTGCGGCACTCAAAACATAATAAAATATATCCGCCGCACAAGCAGATGGCTTGCATTGATAGAACGACCACCAGTAGCCAACCCGATGGCCAAGCAGTGCCCTCCAGATGACTTTCATGGGATCAAAGAACCAGCTTGGCTTGAATTGATGAGATGTACCCTCCCTCAGACAATCATGGAAGCTGAGCAGACCCCCCTTTGTAGAGGATTTCATGGTCTTCCACCCGATGCCGTTCTCCACTTCCATGTCATGCATCACTCGGTGCTTCAAAACAATTCGTGTTTGGGGTCCCAAGCTTGGTCAAACATCATTCGTTGAATCCCCACATCGGTCTTGATCCCAACATCGGTCCGGTCAGGTCTGACGTTTTGGTCGTTTGGGGTCCCCACATCGGTCTGGTCTCCTTGGTCTCTCCACCCGATCGGTCCGCCCCGGACCAGGCCGGGCATCTTCTCGGGACCCACGCTCTCGGTGGATCAAAGCCGTGGATGCCCAGGGGGACGGCTGGTCCGGCTGGTTCGGTTTTGGGGTGTGTGGGCTACCCTCCAAACACGCAAATGGATGACACATCCATGGTGTCATAATATGGTGTCCATGGCACATGTTGGAAGATGATCCCTTTGGGATCATGTTTTGTACCAACATTCACATGCCATGGGCTGTACACTTCCATGCTTCGCCCAAAAACCTCCTTCTTCTCGCGGAGACCGGTCTCACCGCGAACTCGGCGACGCACTCCGAGGTGCCACGGGGAAGTTCCACGACCACTTTGGAAACTTGAACGGCCGCTGGTCGTGGGATGATCCCAAGGACGTGCTACTCTACGGATGTCCGGGAAGCTCAGGGACGGTCTGTGTGCCGGTGGAGAGGACAGTGGTCCTAGGTCTCCGGTGGAGGCGGTGGAAACGCATGCGGAGCGAGCATGAGGGACTGACGTCAGGTGAAGTCTTGATCAGTCTCTTGATCAGTCTTGTGTCCTCATTCTTACAACTTCCCTGGTCCCAGCTTGTGGAGGCTTCAGAAGAGGTCCTGATCAGACTCGTTCCGCTCATGCTACCCCAGACCATGAAATCCCTGGCGCAGATCATGTGCCATGACGACGGATGCTCCATCCCAGGCACCTGCAATTTTAGTGTGAACCTCAATTCCATCGACATGGAGCCTTAGCTGCTGCTTCAGCGCATTCAGCAGCGCATTCAGCTTGTCAATTGTTTGATTCACTAAGATGCTGGAACCTTTTCAAGCAGATGTTTGCCGGCTGAAGATGAACCCCGCAGTGGGTGAGAGCATTGTGCACCAGTCGTTTTGATTCATGACATTCACATGACATTCATGTTGTCAGTTCATATGTTTTGATTCGTGATGATGACATTCATGTTTTCTTTTATTGAGGAAATCGTCAGGTCTTGTCCGTCGCGGGCCCAAAGGGCCCGGGCCAAAACCCCCGCGGCCAACCTGGGCCGCGAAAAGAGACTCTGGCCAACCTGGGCCGTGCTCTAAGGAAGAATTTGATCCCATTTTCTCCCGCCTCTGGGCTTTGAAAGACCCGAGGCCGTCAGCGCTCAGCCAGTGTTTTTTTCGGCTTGGGCTCGTGAGGCAGTGGAGTGATGAGGTTGTCATTGAAACATGTCTGTCAGCCCAGACAGTGTCATTCTGTCTATTGCAGGATCTGATCTAATTGCAAATTGTTTCTAGGCTTGCTAAGTGCGATGTTTGGCTCACAGTTGCGGGCAATTACCGTTTGTCGAGGATTTCCTGTGCCACTTTTAGGTGTCCTGCTGGCCTTAATAAGGCGACATCAATCACCATAAGATGTTTTTTTCCCTGCCACTGGATGATTGTGCAAATCCCACTGACCATTTTGGGGTACCGCACTGCAAAAGGGACAAGACACTGACACTTTGGAAGACAACCGGACCACCCAAACGGTCCGCCCATTGCCGGTGGCGAGACGGTCATCGCATGTCATCGGACCACGTCTCTCCACGATACGTCGAGGTCCTGGATTCGAGGACATTGAGTTCTGCTGGCGTCTCCGTGTGGAGAAGAACGTCATGACGAGGTGAAGAAGATGTTGGGCGGAAGACATTGGGAGAGAGAAGAGATTGATGGGACACAAAAACGCACGAAACAACATCCACTAAGAATCCAAAGAGCATGCTGTCCTGACAAAACTGACAAACAACCACGCAAAAAGAACATACTTTTTTCCTTGCTTTCTCCTCTCCAAATGGTGTCAGACTGGATGAGAGATGATGAGAGCTTCTAAAAAAGTCAGAACCCTTTGTACAAGCCAGGCCTTAGGATTAGCCATTGGCAGGTCATCGTTCTCTTTTTCGTCTCTTTACTTTGGATCATGTTTTCCTTGCCATTGTATATACAACAGCCGCAGGATTCGGGATCGGTTCGTTCTTTTTCCTTCGTTCTTTTTCATTCACAGCAGGGCGATGGAAGACGAAGGAACATGGCCCTGAGGAACGGGAAGACATGGGCTGCATGGTCCGGTCTTTCGGCGGTTGGAGTAACAAAGGCAATCAACTTGTCCATCAACTTCATGGGTGATATACCGTTATATACCGTTATATACCGTTAATGAGACACGAGAATGAGACGCTCGATGGGACTGGAACCTTTTTTTACACCTACATTGACCTCTGAAACTGGAACCTCAAACCAGAGAGGTCGACCTCCATACGGTTCCCGTTCCCGTCTGCGGTCGACCTGTCCAGTCGGATGAGTTGGTGGTGGTTGGGCCTGGGGCCAGGCGGTTCGGGCCAGTCGGCGGTTCGGGCCAGTTGGTGAGCCAAGTTACGAGGCCAAGGTACGAGCCTCAAAAGCTGGATGGTGGTCACCGGACCCCCAGAGCTGCATCCGGTTTGGGCTGTGGAAAGGGAAGAAGTCGATGGACCATGCAAACGATCTAGAAGCAACTCTCCTCAGAAACAGTTCCAAAGATGTGTGTCGGTGTGTGTGATGTTTTTGTGCCAGGTACTGTGAGAAAGCGCGGATGTACCATCAGTATGACCATGGACCAGTTGGCCTCTACCGCCAGTTCTGGAAGTATGGCCACACGGAGAGAGCTGCGCGAGAACTGTGGATGGCCGAATGGTGATCTAAGAGGCTTAAACAACATGGCAGTGGCCGAACTCTGCCATGAACTATGGATACCATTGATGTTCAAAGACCAACATAATTGCTGTATCAGATTTTGGAGAAGTGGCCAAACCCATGGTAGATTATTCCCGTTCTGCGTCCCAGGTTTTTCAACCAAAAGCCAAGTAGGCTTTAGATTTAGGTTCTCACAGGTTTTACGAGAAGTATCATTTACCATGTCAAGAACTTCAAGCAGAGAGCGTGAAGGCTTTTCAAAGGTTTCAGCAGTTTTCGTGCGCCAATTTGTGTCACCCGAGCCGTGTTTGGTCTGCATGCCGTGTTCGTACTTGGCATCTATTCCTTCGTAGACATTCAAGTGCAATCTTTTCCAGACATATGCCGCTGGTTTGCAGCAAGGTCATTGTGTATTGGCAAGGGATTATTGGGGCGGGGTTGAGCCATACACATGTGGGATTACTCTACAAAGAAAATCACAGATACTAGAGCTTGTCCATTACACTTGCCTCCTCCCACTCCGACCAACCACATCTGTGGGTCAGTTTAACTCAAGCTCCATGGACGCACTGCTGGCAAACTGTTTTGATACATTTGTGGAACATGCCGGGTAAACATCGGTTGGGTAAACTGACCCCTTGAAGGGTTCCTTGAACGTCGATCTCACCAGATCTCACTCTCTTTGCAGTCATGAAAGTGGATGGACAACTGCCCCCTGGAAGACGAACCTTCCCTTACAAACAGACAGTTGTCAGTTGTCTTGTTCTACTTGAATCTTGGATCTGGACGGACCAATGGGGCTGCATGGGGCTTCAATTCTCCAGACATGCCCCCAAACCGCCGACCTCTGCAGCGGCTGGGGGTTGGTTCGCCCCACTGAGCCGGTGCGGGGCGACAGGAGCCCATCATGGCGTGGATGCATCCGGACTTCACCTTCCAGGGCTCACGCCCCGTCACAGTGGGCTTCAATGACCCCAGGGATCCGGAGGCCATGGGATGAAGATAGACTGGAGAAGCAGCGTTTCATGGGTGAGCGAGCTAATCGAACTGGTCCAGCTTGTTTTGGTGTATAGCCTAGTATAGCCTAGCTTCGTGTGCAGTGCTTTGGGATTTTAGGGTATCGCTGCAGCGAAGTTGGAGGTTTGGGAGCTGCGACCGATGGCTTCTCCAGAAAAACTGTTAGGGCGCTACTAGTAGGTATGCGAGCCACCACCAACCTTAACAACCCAACCCAATGATTTTATTCTTTTTCACAGGCTGCTTTAGTTTCTTGAGTGCATTTCAATCTGTGAGCTTCAAACACCGCCTGCGATGTCTCATGGAGGCCCGGAACTTTGACACCTTTGCACGATCAGCAGTACAAGGTGCATCAAGTTGACTGCACCGTCTAAAGAACCTAACCGAGCCACCATTTCCCTGCCCAGAATCTGCATGGAAACGCATGGAAAAGCCATCAATGGTCAACAGCCCCCCTGTCTCCCCTGTTGTAGAAATGCCTTTTTTGGAAAGAGGAGGCATCTCGGAGGCATTGGCCGACGGGACCGACGGGACGACCGACGGGACCGTCCGACTTCGTTTCGACTCGTAGATCGACAGGTCGATGGGGTCAAAACCGGATGAGAGGCAATTGTATGGGTTCCTTCGGGGGTGACCCCCAACGGCAACGGTGAACCCCAGCTGCACTTCGCACGGCTGATGTACGAATTGAACGCTGCGACCGGAGTCGGAGTGCTGGGCATTGGTCCGGCGACCGGAGTGTCACTTTGCTGCAAAGTCCCTGGGCAGCGGATGCCCATCACTGTGTCCTTCCTTCCCATCGAACTGAGCGGAGTTCAGCACTGCCAGGCATCGACGGAGTGGTCCAGTTTCTGAAGTGGAAGACCAAGCGAGAGCCGCAACGGAGCTGAAATTCGTGGAAGAAATGACTTGAGAACCCGAGGGGATAATGAATTATCGCGGGGCGATAATTCCCAATCTAGGGCGATAATTCCAAGTGAATCTAGTGTTTTGGAATGGTTGGGATTTATCGCCCTAGAAAAACCCCGAACCAATCATTTTTGGTGAGCAGGGGAGTAGGGTCATATTGCAATATATTGCAGGGTCCCGCATGGGCAAGTCAGACCCGCATCAACTCCAGACCCAGAAGCTGCATGTTAAGGTGTTGGAGATACAATGGAATTTGCTTGCAATCATTGGAACAGTGGTCAAAGTGGAAAGCAAGAATTTGATGTTGTGGGGAATCTGGAACACCTTTCTGTCGCTTGGCTCCATGAAGACTCGGATCCGACACATCCCCCCAAAAAGGACACACACCCGGTGCCGGTGCATGGATTCACGCCCGAAGACGACGCGACGCCTCCCCCCGACGTGGGGTCCAGCCGAGCCAAGGCCGCCCGCTTCCGGTCGGGCGCGCGGGGCGCCGATCACGCCTGGTGGGTGAAAAAGATGCCGATCGGCGCGGTCCACCTGAGTCGAGTGGTTTTTCGGTCCACATGGGTTGGAAGGGACCGGTCAGATCGGTCCCAGTGTCTCGGTGGAAACCGGGGTTGGGGGGGAGCCCGAAACGGTTGAAACGGGAGCCCTTGGACCGGACTGAAGACATCTGAGGACATCGTTCACATCTTTGGAGTTGCATCATCCGTGGGGGCTCAAAGAATCCTCGCATGGCTGTACTGTACAGAAAGCATCAACCAGTGGTCCTGAAGGTTTGCTGAGAGCAAAGCAAAAAAGCGATACAAATCCTTCAGTGTTTCCATACAAACTTCTAAGGGTTTTGCATATGTTCGCATACGTTGGAGGAGCCTTTCAATGAGCAATGCTGGGCGTCGAAGAGCTTAGCCAGGGAAAGTCACCCATTGACGAGTGGAGGGTGAAGGCTTACTACTTTGCAAGCTTCACATTCTTTGCAAACTGTCCTTTCTAGCATTCTTTATTTTCTTGGCACGAATCCACAAAAGATAAAACCCAGTCAAACGCACTCCTTGGTATTTGTGCAAAGAGGGCTGTTTTGAGCATATAAGCTTCTCTTTGCGAAGTTCGGCGTTCCCAGCGAACCACTGCCTTTGTCCTCCCCCCCCAAAAAACAAGCCACCGACCGCCCCATCGCAAGCTCGGGATGGGAGAACCTCCACCCCTCGCGCCCACTGGGGTGGTCAGAGGGTCAGCGCATGAGAGGCGACCTACGAGCGCTATGCGACGCTGTACTTCGAAGCCGACGGCTTCCGCCCGTCCGAGATCGGCCTGCTGATCGCGGTGCGACGGTTTCTCCAGACGGTCGCGACGCCCCCGTGGAACGCCTTGGCAGATCAGACGAAAAAGGCCCCAGACTCGTTCGGACGTTCCGGGGTTTGAATGGTTTTCAGGCAAAATTGCATTTATAGATGACCTATGTAGAAACACAGATTTCGTGCTGCCTGTCGGGATTACCTTCCGGATTTCCAGGGGTGGATCTTCATGGGTTTAGGCAAAATCCGGCCACCCTGGACCCTGTGAAAAGGCCAGGAGTATTCAACTTGCTTGCTTGGTGGCGAGTGCGATCCCATTTCTGGCTTTGAGTGCTCCTGTGCACCACGATTCCAAAGGCACGGAAGTTCACACCGATTTCCCAAAGCCTAGGGTTCGATGGCACAGTTGTATATGGACAAGATCTCAGCAAATCAATAAGAAGATCATCATGGTTTTCATGTTTGGTAGTTTTCGGCATGAGTTTGGCGGTTCAACGCCAGGCTTCCATTCACTCTTCATGGTTCGTTTCCAAACTCTGGATGTGCTGTGCCATCCAGCTGCACCCTCTTCCAGGTCTGATTTTACGTGGCTTGGCGCTCTGGATGTTCTCCTTGTTGGGCTCTCCGTCCACTTCCATGATGGACGCTGTGGCGCTGGCCGCTTGTGACCAGGATGCTCAAAGGTGGGCGAAGAATGCGAATTGCATGGGGAGTCCTCAACCAAAGTGGGTGTTTGTTCCTGTTTGTTGTGTCTTTCCCCTCAGGCAAATCAATCGGTTTCCTGATTCGTAAGTTAACATTCTTCGATCACCTTCCTCTATGGATTGGTGGTCTGGAAAAAGAAGTCGCCAACTCCAACACCCCAAAATGCCGACGTTGGGAGCCGGCAATGCACAGAGTTTGAGGGAACACTCAAGCTGCAACGCCACCGGGCATTGATTTGACCTCAGCCCTCAGGTGGGGCAATGCTCGAATTTATGGTGCCGTTGGTTGGGGTATGGCACACCTTCCTTTGGGCCTCTTGTTCGACCGTTTTGGCTTCGGCGTGATGTTTGTGTCCTTTGTGATCTCTGCTATTGGGCTCTTTGGGGCTACCTGGGGTATGCCTGAAGCATGTGGCGAAGCTGAGGGTGATGTTAGCCTGCAGTCCATCTTCGGCATTTTGAGGAGAAATGTGGCTTTCTTTGGCAACATTACGGTGCTTGGTGCGGGATTTGCCATGGTCGAAGGGATGCTGTTTCTGCTTCTGCAGGAGATGAAAGCATCAACGCTGTTGTGCGGCCTCTCGGTGGTAGCAACCGTGATTTTTGAGCTGCCAATCTTTGCCAACGCGCAGTTTCTATTGGAGCGATTTGGTACCAGAAGACTGGTGATAGCTGCGCAAGCCGCCTGGGTCGTACGCGCCTTCTTCTATTCGCAGATGTCGGCCGCCTGGATGGTTTTGCTCGTTGAGCCTTTGCATGGCGTGACCTTTGCACTCGCATGGACTGCGGCCATCGATTTCGTGAAGCGCCCTGAGGTTTCGGGGGAAGGCTTGGAAGCATCTGCACAAGGACTCCTGACAGCATGTTTCCATGGTGTAGGTCCTATCATTGGTCTACTTGGTGGCGGTGTGCTCTTTGATTCTCTCGGAGGCCATCAGTCATATCTCATTTTCGCGCTAGGGGTGCTGGTCTCCGGGTGGATCTACTGGATACAAACCTCAGATGCAGAATTGCAGCATAGTCCGTCCAGAGAGGCGATCTCCTTGTCCAACGCGCTGGGCAAGCAAACCCCCACGGCGGAGCCTGAAAGCGATGCCGAGCAAGACCACTTTGCCAAAGCTTGAGACCGCAAGGCACCTTGCAACGTTCGAAGGTGCAGCGACCACCACTGACTGGGCCACTCTGCTGACTGTGCGGGGCACCGCGCCGACCTCGGCCATCGACCCGCCATCGATCCGAAGCGGGAGCCATTCCTCGGCCGTTCGGTGTGCGGGATCCCTTGGCCATGGCCTGTCCGCTTGCCGGACCGGGACCCGCGGGGCGTATCTGCACAACGGGTGGCGACGCACCGAGCAACGGCGTGCGGGAGGTCGGTTCCTGACGCCGGGTTAGTCCAGATGTCTGAGTCCATCTTTGCAGTCGTCCAAGCAAGGGGCAAAGAGAAAAAGGCAGTTCTTTCAAGGCAGCGGCTGGGGAAGTCTACCAGATGCCAGTCCGCCTCAGAAAAGATCGGGATGCCCCAACCCAAGGTTCACATATGCCGGGCTTTACATGGCTTTACACTGCACACATCTGTACACCAAGCTTCACATCAAAGTGCCAAATTTCTGACAAAGAAACGATCTCTTCCCCACAAACAGTACTTCATAATATACTTCACTGTGATGTCTTCGGAAGGTGAAGCGGAGCAAACCCATGGGACACCTGCTCCGGTCCGTCGTCGGCCAAAATTCGCTGAGGAATCCCCGCCTCTTGACAGATGCCGCGTTGGATGCCATGGATTGTGCTGCGCATGCACGCAGTCTGGTGGGGCACTCAGATCTTCAGAATTCTCTTGGTGTGAACTGTCAAGTGTCTCTAGATGAGTTGAGAAGGCTGAATGGCATCGCTACGGGCTTGATGGGCGTCTCGAACGTTGTCACCCGCGCCTTCGCGTCTTTGTCGACAGCGTGGTTTTTTTCGTCAGGGTGCCACGTCCTTTGCCTTGAGCAGTATTGGTGGCTGCCAGGATCCCAGGTGCGAAGAGATCTGGAGATATGGTTGAGTCAACGAACACGTTTTTCTTGTATATCGCGTGATATCGTTGGGTCACTCCGAGAGTCACTCCATAGTTTGTCCTTTTTACTGAGCGTTCATCCGATGTTGACCCAAGTTGTGCCAGGTTTGAGCAACCAACTGGCAGATGTTGGCAGGGTTTTTGCACCTCTTTGACCCAAGAAAACATCTTTATGCCGTCTGATGGGTCACTCGCTCACACCGAGCCTTCGCTACACACGCGAGCGCCATGACTGAGAATTGGATACCCAGGCTACAGCTATGCGATGCAAGTGACTGAAGAGGAGCTGAAATGCACTTCCGTGGTTCCTGTCGAACCAGCCTCTTGCGTGTTTTCCTCAACCCACAGGATGGATGGTTCAAGATGGGTAAAGTTGAACAGTCAACCAACAGTCATTTTTGACCAGCTGATGACGCTTCAATTGAACCAATCATACGCATCCAACCGCTTCCGCTTCATCTTCTCTCGGCCTTGCCTTCAAGATGCTCGAAAAAACCCAGCGCCGCCGGAAATTCCGCACAAAATCCAGCACTCCAGTTACTTCATGTTTCATTTTTCAGACCAAGCAGTTCAAAACCACGTGGTGACCATCGCCACCCATGTTTGGGCCACGCAAGCAGTTCAAACACCCAAAACTCATTGGCCGCCTCTTTTCATATGATTTTGTTGTTTGCTTGGCAAGGACTATGCTCATTTCAGAGAGAAGGGCTTGGAGAGCACCTGCAACTTTGGGTCGGGTCTCCCGATCGATTGATCTGTGCGGGGCTTTTGGGGTTTTCAATCCTTTTTTCCATGCAATGCTTTCTGAGCCGGAACGTATGCTTATACAAATAAGACAACACGGCGTACATATCAAGTCCACATGCTTGCCTTCAGTTGCCCAGAAGCTCAGATACTGGAATGGACGCTGATGTCTTCTTGCAGAACTGCAGAGGAGAAAGTGAACCTCGAAAACATAAACAGACAAGGAACCGTAGTTAGATAGACTAGACACCTGACGATGCATCTGAATGCCAAAATGTTTCATTTTACTTTTCGCACATTTTAGGTGGACGAAGTAGACTGCACAGCTATCCACCATGCAAAAGATGAACCAGTAGCAAGCCAAGTCATGAACAGAAGGACTTCAATAAAGTACCGTTAAGATGATGAACCTGAGCACTTTTGCGGGTGAAGGGGGTAGATTGGTGCACACTTGTTGGCAAGTGTTTTGGGCAAGACTGCAATGCTTCGCTTGTAACTGTCGTGTGTGAACACTCCTATGCCCACACTTCTACTATCAGTGGCTTCTCAGCGTTGGCACTGTGTAAGGGTCACCACAATTCTGCATGCTACAATGTCAAGTGAAGTGTGTGAAATGAACTTCAGTGTGCTGTGCTGCAACATCACAGCATTGCTTGCATTGGACGCCGCATGCTATTTTGCTGCGGCAGCCATGATAATATGCAATGCAAGG